AGTTAGCGCGAGTGTTGGCTGGCGAGTCTCTGTAAGAAGGGTTAGTGCTAGTTAGCGCGAGTGCTGTGCAACGTAGCAAAAGTACAGAGTCGTATTGCATAACGTAGAGATGTAGAGTGACAACAAAGAAACCTGCTGCTGCTACTGCTGGCTGGAAAGTCTGCAAACGCGCAAAGACTGGTGCGATGTTACAAAAACGCAACGTTGCCTCGATGAATCTCAAACTATCGGATGGGGACTGAGAAGCGTTAGCGCCTGTACTGACAAGTTTCTGCAAATGCGCAAAGACTGGTGCGATGTTAAAAATAACGCAACGTTGCCTAAGTGAATTAATCAGAAATTCTGAACACGGCTGTGTATGTAGTCATGGTGTATTATCCGCACACTCGGTTGTAGCGAAGCAAACACGCGCGATAGAAAACCGAAAATATCAAGCCATTACATGGCATAAAATATACCGACCCTCACTATTGGCTTTCGTATTACATTTGCTTCTATAAGGTGATGTATTTGTTCTGCCAAACAGAAGCTACTTGTCTTATCTATTATGTAATAACTGATATGTTATATACTGAATATTATCAGGAGTTAATAAGGACAAATTTGTCATTATTAACTCCTGATATTATATATGTCTAACGGGATCCTAATATATTTTAATTTAATTAATTTAATTAAAACAGGATTTAAATCTGATTTTGAAGATGACTATATATGGCTACCGGGGTATGAGTAGAATGCTCGTGATTTCGCCACTCATCATGAGTTCAAAGATCAGCGCCACGTCATTTTAATAATATCGTGGTTATATGGGCGCAACACTTGAACGTACTGTACGCAAGCTGCGCTTGGATATTACTGAGTGGCTGCCAGACTTATTTCCACACCTCCCGAGATGCTTCCAAGTAAAAAGTGCAGAATAGCAGTAAAAGCCGCAGTGCACTGCACTCGACACGGTGCTGTGCTGACATCTAGTGGCCTTTATGTGAGGCCGATATGACGATAGCCTTTTAAAGGTCACTCAGGAGAAATGTCAAAAGTCTCCTTTATAGACACTATTTAGACAGGTGTCTGGTTTAACAAAAGTGATTTTACCTCATAATGGCCACTCGGGGAATTTGCTAAAAGCGTCCTTCAATGTTCGTTATGATCAGCTTTCCTATCACGTTTGCTTCTATACGGCGATGTATTTGTTGTGCCGTACAGACGCTACTTATCTGATCTAATAGTAATATGCAATAACTGATATGCTATGTTATGTTAAAAATTACAAGGCATCTAACTTAATTTGTTTCTTATCTAATTTACAATAACTAATATGCAATCTTGTTCAGGGTGAACCGGACTAACGCAGGCCCGACTCTACGCGAGTTTATGTTGTTAGGATCCCTCGTGTGCGTTACTTCAGCGTTTACTCATTGTTCGTGTTGTTCCTCGCTATGTTCGCAGGAGATGAAGGGAGGTCGGGCGTTCCAGAAGTTAACTCGCCGCTTACTTCACCGTTAACTCATCGCTCGTGTTGTTCCTCGCTATGTTCGCAGGAGATGAAGGGAGGTCGGGCGTTCCAGAAGTTAACTCGCC